TACTCTAAATAAAATTCTACATGCATGTTTCTGTTTAGTATAAATTTTCTTTAACTAGGCGTAGCTGTTGCTTGCCCATACGATATTGCTGTAAGTTAGACAGCTATGTATGAAGGAAAAATATAAACTTTTTAGAGATCTTATATCCAAAAATGGTTTTGCTTTATACATCATTGCAATGTTTATTGAAAGTTTTCTTTCAAGAGTGTTTATATGTTTCCTCCATGTTAAATTTTCGTCTAAAATAATATCTAAAAAGTTTACAGTTGTTTGCCTAGTAATATTTATATTATTGATTTTAAGATTGGGTAATTTTAAAGGAAGGTTTCCTGTTTTGGTTGGTTTGTGAAATAGAATAAATTTAGTTTTGTTAACGTTAAGTGAAAGTTTATTACAAATAAACCATTCATTTACTTCTTCATTAACTACTTTAAATAGTTAAATGTTTTTAATATTCTTTGTTTTATGTATAAATGCAAGACCAACCTATCACCCGTTTCTTTTCGTAACTTGTATTTACAAAAAGATAGAAATAAATATATTCTAAGGAACGATAACTTAATTCGACAACCATTTTCTCAAACTAACTTTGGAAAATTTTTTATTTCATTTCGCGGACCATTTTTATGGAATAGTATAGTTCTAAATACTTCTAAAGATTTTTCTCAAGAATGTAATTTTGATTCTTTTAAACAAAATCTTAAAAAACTCATTTTTTCAACTGAAAATATACTAATCTACTTTTAAATTTTTGAAAACCACTTGTCTATATTAGTATATGAATATATTTAATGTACATTTTTATTTATTTATTTATTTTTTTATCAACATGCAATTAATTACCATGTTTTATTTTAGTGAATTATTTAACATGTTTTAGTTTTTAAGTTTTAGAACTCTTCTATTGTAATATTGTATGTTTATTTATAATATTATATTACGAACTTTATATACTTTTATTAATAAATTTAATTTTGTAATAAAAAAAATAAATAAATACAAAGAATGAAAACATTGAAAAAAAATAATAATAATAATAATAAAAAAAAAAAAAAAAAAATTAAAAAAAAAAAAAAAAAACGTTTAAAAGCGGTTTCTCTGTGACAAGACCTGATGGTCTTCTTTGAGTATCCGCGTTCTTTATATTTATTATTATTCTTTATATTATTATATTATTCTTAACGATATCTTGACTTGTTACCTTTTCTTTTTTTATTTTTTATATTATTTGTATCTGTATCATAAATATTGTAATAAAGAACAAAAAAAAAAAAAAAAAAAAAAAAAAAAAAAACTTTTAAAGTGGGTTTTAATATCCCTATAAGAATAAAACAGATTGGAGTCATCAGCAGACAAAACAAAGTTTAGTATGTTCGCGGTAAGAGATAGATCATTTATATAAAGAGAAAACAGTAACGGTCCTAAGATTGAGCTTTGAGGAACTTTTTATTATACTTTTTGTCGTTTTAACATTTTCATATTGAATGTATTGCTGTCTGTTTGATAAGTAATCTTTAAACCATAGTAAATTATTGTTTTTTATTCCATTATGTTCAAGTTTTTTTAAAAGAATGACATGGTTGACTGTATCAAAGGCTTAAGACAGATCAATAAATACTCCTAATATAAAACGGTCATCATTAAAGGCATTGGTTACATGAGTTACTAACTCGGTCAAAGCGTGATCAGTTGAATGATTTTTTTTAAAGCCAAATTGCTTGTTGTACAACATGTTATTTACTGTTAAGTAGCTGTTTAGCCTATTATACATTATACGCTCGAGTAACTTAGAAAATATAATTTATATCTATAATTTGAAGAATCTGAGTCATCGCCAGACTTAAAAATAGGCAAGACCCGTGCAATTTTTATTTTTTCTGGAACTGTTCCAGATTGAAGAGAAAGATTAAAAATGTGATATAAAGGAGTTTCTATAATATGAAAAACTGATTTAACAACATTTATGCTAATATTATCAAAACCTACACTTGTGTTGTTTTTAAGATTATCTAGAGCATATCGTAACTCATTAATATTTAGTTTAGATTCGTCCATGACCTTATTATATATTTTTAAATAAGAATCGAACGATGATGAGCCTGAGGGAATTTTTTCAGCTAAGTTTGGACCAATATTAAGAAAGAAACTGTTTAGATTTTCAGCTACTATTGACTTGTCATATATAATTTTACCATCTACTAAGAGTTTCTTTGGTTGAATACTTATTCCATTATTTTTTCTGCCAATAATTTTTTTAATTACGCTCCTCGTACTTTTTGCATTTCCGTTAGTTTTTTTTAACAACTTTAAATAGTAAATTTTTTTTCATTGTTTAGTTTTTTCAAATATATATATATATATATATATATATATATATATATATATATATATATATATATATATATATATATATATATATATATATATATATATATATACATGTGTATAAATTTACCGTATTCGATTAAAAATAACTTATATTAAACTGGATGCTTTTTTAAAATAATTATTATAAAAAACGTTATATTGCAGTTTATATTTAGCCAATATTGTAAACTAATATTGGTTAAATATATCAAGATGTAAACATACAATATTGGTGCAATGTTGTTAAATATATTGAACCAATACTGAGATAAGTGTTGTACCAATGTGATTTTTTTTTTTTTATTTTTATTTTACTTCACCTCCTCAAGGGCGAGAAGGCCACTACAGACGAGGAGGCTACTTATTTTGTGGCTATAACCCTCTCTCAACTCTATAACTCCGAAACACGAACCTTGACGAACAAGGCCGCTGCGCAGAGAAACGAGTTGAGCGCGGTACTACCAGGGACGTGGTGGGGATCGAACTCGGAACCACTCGTTTATGAAGCGAGCGCTCTACCACTACACCACTACCGCATTTATGATTGCCACAAGGGTAGCTTAGTTTCTGCTGCAAATATAGCAAAGAAAAAAGGTATGACGTTACAATTATTAAGTGGTTTTAATCACTCAAAAAGACAGTGGATTGACTTTTTGGTGTGTGTTTGCTGTTCTTGCGCAGCATGTTACAAAACCTAATTTTGGTAATAATATCTTTAACATGATGTTGACCGACTGCCACTTCAGAGTTACATAAATTGATATTGATCTAATTCTTAGTAGGTCTATTGAAAAATAATATCAACTGCACTCTTATATGGAGTTTTTATTTAAACGATAAGTCTTCACTACCAGACTGTTATTACAAACAATGGTAAAGGGAGTTATAAAAATATAAATAAATTTTGCAGATACAGAATGGAGAAAACAACTTAAAACATTTAAAAACGAACTCATTATGATAAACCAACTTATTGAGTTTCAGTATAAGGAAGTTTTAACTAAATATGTTCCAAATTATGCTACACCAACTCAAAAACAAAAATTATTGAAATTCTAAATAAAAAAGAAATGTATCTTTTGGTCAAAACTGCTAACCAGCTCATCTAACTATCAGTCAAGTTTACAAAGCAACTTGCAAGCAGTTAAAAAAGACATATATGCTGTATAGTATACTATAGCCGCAAGACAGACTTTTATTTAATTGAAGTAGTTGATAGTACCATGATAGGTTTTTCTTGAGAAATACCCAGGTAATTTATATATTTAGATGAGAAAAATCCTTTACCGTTAATGGCGCTGATCTGAATTAACTTTTTTCAAAGAGTTTACCTAATAATGGTATTGGTTTATTTTTACTACAGTCATGTTTTGAGTCCTAGACTTTTTATGGATTTGTTTGACAGAGGTATTTTTATAAATATTAGGGAATACACAAGTTTAGAAAGTATTGAAGAAATATAATCAGCAAGAATTTCTGAAACAAAGGGTGTTATCCAAACGCTGTTTGGACCAGAATCCAAGCCTTTATTTAGAAAAAAACATAGCTAATAATATTTCATTTTCATCAGTAGGTTTTATAAAAAGAGAGCCAGGTTTGATACTTGTAGAAATTAGTATCGCGTAAAAAATACTTCTTTGCAGTTTTTCAGATATTGAAATTAAAAAGATTTGAAAATTTTTGATATTTCTGGATCATTTATAATGGTGTTGTTTGAAGATATACAAGATGGATTTAAGATATCATCCAAATGCATAATCAAAAGAATCATAATACCCTTCTACGTAGCTCTCAAACTAGTGATATTTTTAGTAAAGCTAGAAAAGTAGTTCTCTTTGTCTATTCGAATATTTGTTACAAGTAGTTGTCTAAAGTTTTTCCAAAAACAAGTCATATAGATTTTTTATTATTTTCTATTATTTATCAAGGTTAAAGTTGCTGAAGTAATCCATGGTTAAATGCTTATTATTCTCTATTTCCTTTTTTTTCTGTTTTTATTCTGTTAAAGTCTATTTTTTATTTTCGAGTCTCTTGATTACCTTGACAATGGACGAATAATAACTTTAAATAAAATATTCGTAAAACATTTTAGAAGCAAACCATATTGACAAAAAATATGAAGTAAACTCACCTCATGAACAAAAAAATTGTTTCACAAAACCACGACATATATAAAAAAGCATCAAAATTGATTAGAACCGATTTAAATTGGTAAAATCTTTATACTTAAATTTTTTTCTTTATCTAACAGATTATATTTAGATAGTAATCTGCTATAATGGTACTTGTTAAACATTACCAAATAATTTGCAACATAGTGATTAGTACTTTATTTTAAGAGTTCTTTTTTTTTGTAATATCTTTTCTCCCTGTTTAATGTTGATTAAGTAGTGAACCAAGTAGATGATATATTTTTTTTCTAGCCCACACCAACATAACATAGATAATAATAGCTGTGAGGATCCTGCTTTACTTAGTCCTGTTTTGTTTCGAAAACTTAAAAAACACATTACCTTTATATGAATTTTTAAATTTTAAGCTTTGTTATAAAAATACAATAATATATCAAGCATTTATATACTTAAAAAATATTTAATAATCAATTTTTAATTTAAAAAATAAAATTTTCATACCTCTTTTAGCAGTTGCGTTAAAATTTTTTTGAGCAATTGCAAATTCTAGAGAATTGTTCATTACTGCTATCTATAAAAATTTTTGACATAACATTTCAAAATATAATAATAACAAATAAACATATATATATATATATATATATATATATATATATATATATATATATATATATATATATATATATATATATATATATATATATATATATATATATATATATATATATATATATATATATATATATATATATATATATATATATTCTAGTTTAAATAGTTATCAGGCCCTATTGATTTTGGTTCAACTAGTTGTTAGGTCGCTACTGATAATATGTAACCTAGTACAATCTGCTTCATGGCCTGCTGCCTTTTTAGGCAAAGGCTAGAAGATAATTTTAAAAGAAAATCTAAATTTTTTTTACAAAAATATAATAAAGCAGTTGGTCACGATGATATTATTTGTAACGCATTTATCGATTCTAATGATAATGTTAAAGATGTTCTTTTTAAATATTAACATTGTTCATCAAAACAGGACATTTTTTGTAATTTTTTAAATAACTTAATAGTTTTGCAGAACAAATCTCGTATTTGTACAATATACATAAAGCGGGGACAAGAAGAAGACAAAATAGTCTTATCGGGAAGCCCCCGAAAAATAGTTTCAAGTAGCGAACGTTTTACCGATAGTTAAAGGTGGTGATACAACCAATGTTTCTAATTATCTTCTAGTCCCCAGTGTACACGGAGGTAAAAAAGACGTCTTTTAAACGTCTTATTCACGTTTTAGTCGTCTTTTGAACGTTTTGGACGTCTTATGAACGTTCAAATTACGTCTTTTTGTGGTTCGGTGTCCACTGGGTCTCTAAATTGCCCAATTTTTCAAATGTTTTCAAAAAAGAGTTTTATAAAACGTAACTTTAAATAATTTATCATTAAAGAAGTTTTTATATCAAAATCTTTTTTGTTTTCAAAGTACTACTTTAAACAAAGTACTACTTTAAAAACTGAAATTCAAAAGAACACGCTTTTACTGAGCCTTTTGAGAAATCCCAATATAGTTTAGGGATTTTATTGACTTATCAAAATTCCTTAATACAAATTAAAAAATTGTACAACTGTGATTAAAAAATAATATTTTAAATAAAAGTTTTATGAAATCAATGGAAATATTTTAATGCACTTAAAAGTCTTTTAAGTCGTAAACCATTCGTTGAAAGTTATTCAACTGCATCTTTTGATTTATTTGATTTAAATAGTGGAGTCGCTTAGGGCTCTAAACTGGGACCGATTTAAGTTATTAATATCTTTAGAAGTTAAAAAATATAAGTCTAAAGATAATAACAACTTAAATCGGTCCTTCTCTTTCTTATTTATATTAATAATATCCCTAAAGATACTATTTTAATAACCGTTATGTTTGTTAATGATGCTAATTTTTTTTAATCTCATAAAAGCATAACAGCATTGTTTCAAAATAGGAGCATTGAGTTAACAAGTATTTGAGAGAAATATGTAAAAAAATTTTAAGGGGTTTATGTTGATTAAAATCTTAGCGGGTAATATCACATAAATTTTTTTCAACAAAGTCGCTAAAAGTAAAGGAATTATGTATAAAGCAAGAAATTCTTATTCACATTTTAACACAACTTTTCAAACAACACATATTTCTAATTTATTTATTGCAATGTAATTTATGCAAATATTTCCTCGGGTAATACAAAAAATTTCTAAAATGTTACCATTTTGTCGTCGAAAGGAGCATGTTGCTCGTCTAATCAGTTTTATTGATATATTTGCTTATGGCAAGTTTTTCTTGTTTAAAAAGAAAATTAATAATAATTATCAGCTGATTATTTTAAACATACTTTGTTTTATGTACAAATGTAAAACTAACATATCTTTTTTCTATTTTCATAATCTATATACCTAAAAAAATAAAAGTAAATACAACATAAGAAATGATAATTTAATTCAACGACCTTTTTTTAAAACTAATTTTGAAAAGTAAGGTTTTATTTTTTATGGAGCTTTTCTTTGAAACAAAATAGTTTTAAAAAAATTTAATTTTTTTTTTGATTCTTTGGAAAAAAATAATGGAAATTAACTTTATTAAAGTTACTTTATTAAAAAAAAATATATATATATTTTATTTATCATAGACACACTTTTATAACTTAAATATTTTTTTAGATATTCTTAGAAAGATTTTGTTTTTGATATTTTTTTAGTATAATGTTAAATTTGAGATATCTTTTTCTTACTTGATATTTTCAATATTTTTAGTTGTACATTTACTACTTTATTTTTGAAACAAGCTAATTAGTTCTTGTTAATCCAATACTATTAATTTTGAATTTTTATGAAAGTTGTGAAACAAAAAATAATATAGAATATAATAAAAAACTTAAATTTTAATAGAACTAATCAACGAGCTTGTTCATTTACACGATAATATAATATCAAAAATGTTTAACCACAAAGTAAACTAACTGAATATCAAAATATCTAACATATAAGAAGAAAAAAAAATAATAAAACATGAAAATTGAGGTGCACTTACAGTAAAAAGGCGATGAAACTCTTATCCGAAAAATATGAAAACCTGTCATAGATTTCATACCTCTATTAGTGAAAAATGATTTTACAATGGGTTCCAATATTGCATAATATATAAAAAAACAGTCTACTAAAGTTTATTTTTTCATATATTATGCAATATAATAACCCATTGTAAAAAATAAAGTTGTTAAAGAACAAAAACAAAGTAAGTTTTAGGTATTTTGTTACGTTTTATCATTTTTGTTTAGTTTAAAATTTGTAATAAATTTTAAATTACATAAAATTTTTGACCAAAACTACATATGCTTTTATACTTTGCAGACCATTGCGTTCCATGAAAATGTTAGAAATAATAGAAGTTAATGACGTCTAATTTTCCTTTTTAGAAATGAAACTTGATAATAATTTGAACTTGATAATTTGATAATGATTTGATTGTAATAATTACATTAGGCGCTTGCGCCACAAAATAAGATTATTAATGAATAAACTGAGACAATGCACGTTCAAAAAAATTTGCATAGCTTACCCTTAACCCTGCCTTGGTAATTAACCATTTAAAAAAAAATTTACTTTGTAGTTTTATAAAACGTAACTTTAAACTATTTATCATTAAACAAGTTGTTATATCAAAATCTTTTTTGTTTTCAAAGTACTACTTTAAACAAAGTACTACTTTAAACAAAGTACTACTTTAAAAACAGAAATTCAAAAGAACACGCTTTTACTGAGCCTTTTGAGAAATCCCAATATAGTTTAGAGAAAATTATGTAGTTTGTTTGCAGTTATTTTGTGAAAAATTGTGAAAAATTTAAATTAAAAACAAAACCCTTTTAAATAACGTACCGCAAAACAAAACTTTTTTGCTGGTGAAATATCATCAGATAATTTTTATTTGCCTACATGACATTGCTCTTTCACAAGATAATAATGGAAAAAACGTCCATGATATGTTTCAATTTTTTATAACAGATGTTAAGACACAAAAAATCTAGACAAACGCATTATTGTATTATTATAAACGCATTATAAACGCAGGCCTTGGATGTCCAAAGGACGTACCGTTTAGGTCTGTTCGTCCATGTCCAAAATGATACGTCTTTGAACATCCAATAGATGTCAAAGTCTAAAATATCGTATTCAAAAGAAGTTATATTCTCTTCTCCGTGTACTTCTTCTAGACATTCATGAATTTAAATTATTTTTAAAATAATTAAAAAACCAAAGTTTAAATTTAAAAAAAGCTATAAATTTTTATGCTAAAAAACTCAACTATTTAGTTATAGTTATCGAATATTAACTTATAGTTTAACTATATAGCTAAATAATAATATCTTTTGATTTAGATTTATAAATTTACAAATATTAGACTACAAACGCTCATTAAAATGGCGAAATATTTTTGCTTCAAAAAAGTTCATTTTTTGTAATCATAACTATGAGTTATCTTTAACTAACTTAAAATAAAATCAGTAAGTACGAACTTTTTTATATTAATTATTCAACTACATTTCTTTTTTTAACAATATACAGTATCGGATAAAACAAGTGCAACCAAATAATGCTAATTTAGTTTCTTTATATAAAAGTGCTGCATTTTTTCAGTTTAGAGAATTAACTATGTAACTGTTTAGAGACAACGTTCTTCAAGTTTAATTCATCACAAAGTTTATTATTTGTGCACGAAAATTAATAAATTTATCGAAAGTATTAAAAAAAAGTTGATTTCTTTCTAGACACAATATGTGCAACTCCACAAAATGTTAAACAAGCTGTATTTCGCTATCAATATTTCGTTTTGAATCCTTTGTGGTCAAACACAGCCTTGAATCTTCGAGGCATAGATTTGATCAGGTGATTAATGAAACTTTGTGAAGTTGCTGCCCAGGCCTTTTGGATTAGTTCAAACAGTTAATCCTTATTGCGAACACCTTCACAATTAATTCTGTGGTTGACGATCTACCACAGGTTCTCGATAAGGTTGAGATCCGGAGATTGAAGCGGCCAATCCGTCACCGATAGGTGGTTGTCTTGAAACCACTGCTTGACTACTTTTGCAGTGTGTTTTGGATTGTCGTCTTGATCTTTCAGGATATTTTTATACATTAAACGTTCTATGATTCCATTGATTCGATGTATTAGACCTAGACCGTTAGCAGAAAAACACTACCATGACTACTTCCACCATGCTTCACGGTCTTATGAAAGTAACGTAAAATGAGGCGTTTTCCAGCCAGTCGACGTACACGGCAAATGCTATCGTTCCCAATGATGTTAAACTTCGATTCATCACTAAACAGGACAGTTTGCCATTTCTGCACATTCCAGTGAATATGAGATGTAGCGAACAAGAGTCTTTTCTTCTGTTTCTTTATTTAAATCAGCAATTTCTTTGCAGTGATTGATTGCTTATGTCATGGCATGCTATGATTCCAGACTCCTGAACTGTTTGCTGTGGTAGTATAGTTTGTTTTTAAGACATGTAAAATTAGGAACACTTTTTA